AGGAAATAGTACGAGCTGATCAGCAGAATAGAGAAGGCACAATTTTCTATAAGATTGTACAGCTGCTGGCATACGCTGATGATATTGACATTTTTGGCCAAAACAGCAGCTCCGTGAGTTCTTCTTTCCACAGACTGGATAAGCAAGCGTAGGAAATGGGTCTTGTAGTGAACGAGTGTGTGACGAAATACCTCCTGTCGGCAAAAAAAAACAGTCGTGGCTTTCGCGACTCGGGCTCCCTTGTCATTATTGACAGTCAAAGCTTTAAGGTCGTAGCTAATTTTGTTCTACTTGGAACGAGCATTACCACCAACCACAATGCCAGCTTTGAAATCCAACCCACATTCACTCTTTCCAGTACGTGCTACTTTTGTCTTAATAGACAATTGGAAAGTAAAGTCCCTACCCTACCCAAACCCTACAAGTCGTTCATAATTTCCGTTCTGCTATATGCTACGGAGGCATGAACGATGACAACAACTGATGAGTCGGCGTTAAGGGTTTTCGAAAAAAAGGTTTTGCGTCAGATTTATAGCCCTTGGTAAGATGGGACCGGCGAAAACCGCAGCCGATGGGAGTTTGAGTTGTACGTGTTGTACGGCGACATTGACATAGTTCAGCGAATCAAAAAACAGCGGCTGTGCTGGCGAGGTCATGTAGTCCGAAAAGGTAAATATACTCCAGCTTTGGAAATTTTGGATGCGCTAACCGAAGGGGAAGACCTTCACTCGGTTGGAAAGACTGGGTATAGAAGGACCTCTCTGTACTTGGTATTTCCAAGTTCTACTTACTAGAATAGTAAGCGAAAGAGATTGAAAAAGTAGACCACCGAGAGGAAGGCGAAAGTAAGTGCTTTTGGTATAATTCATCAACATCATTGGATTTCGGCACTCAAAATTTTCTTGTTCAGAAATTAGTTTAAGGATGAGAATGAAGAGCACAAAGTAAGCAAAGAATAATCTTAAAGATATTTTCACTGAACAAATATTATCATTTTATTTCTTTTGATATAACGTTAATTTTTCAATTACTCACTACACCGCAATTAAATCGGTAAACTTTCAAAAAATAAATCTTTACTCTGAAAGAAAAAAAAAACTTTCTTCAACTGACAGATAAATGCTTTCCTGCCGCGGCAGCTTGAACTGCTTTCGACATTTTTGGCAGATTTCAATATAAACTTTGCAAAAACAGGTACAAGTGAAAGGCGTTTATGACGATGGTAAACGAGATCATCAGCTAACTGCCAACGAGAGATCATCAGCTGCGCACAGCAACAACTGGCAATCGGTAAAGCTTACAAGTTACATACATACAAAAAAATTTAAAATGAGATGCCAAAAAGGCAAAAAACATTTTTGTGAATTTCATATTTTAAGCAAATTTTGTCTACCACCAACCTTCCGTTAGGATATGCAGCGATATAAGTGTTTTATAGCAACAAAAACAAGCCGCCCATTCAAATCAATCAAAATTAAAAAAAAAAAAAATTATTCAACAGACTAATTTTTTTTATGGCGGAAAATTCAACAGTTGAGTTGAGCATAACTCATATTTTTGAGTACCAAATAAATTTTATGACTTCAAGGCGTGGCTATGATACCATTTCAAGCAAGCCGCCGCTTCTCAGGTGTCTTGATGCTAAAACTAATTAATTGATCTGCGATTATTACTTCCGCATTGAATGTCCATTAAGTCGTTATCGCCGGCAACTTTGCAGTGGTGTTTAGTTGCGTGCCACAAGCACTCTATTTTTATTAACATAACAACAACAACAACAGCATACACTCACGCACGTTGGAGAGGGTATTTGCTGTGCCCACACTCTACGCGTTACTCGTTAGCCGGCTCGTCCACTGGCCAATAAACAGCAATAACTGTTTTTTTTCATTGATTTTTTTTTTGTTTTTATTATTGTGCGTAGCTTTGTTTATTTCCTTTTAAAACTTGCATTGCTTTGTTGGCGTTTTGTTGTTTTATTACACGTTTTTTTGCTTTTAATCTTTTTTTTTTACTTTTATGCGTTTAATTTTGGATTTTTTTCTTCAGTAAAATAAATAAATTTTTTTTCTTTTGTATTTGCAAATAAAAAGCTTCAATTTCAAGCCTGTTATGCTCAACATTGTTGTATATGTATGTATAAAAACTTAATCAAGATGTTATCATTTCTTAAAAACATCATCTTTTATGAATTTACTTTCAATGACAATGTCTGTTGGTCTTTCTAAAATTTGAAGGTTATGTACAAAAGACCTAAGCCAACAACAACGATTTAAGTACTTAGATTATATTGTACATATGTATGTTTTCTCTTTGTCGAAAGCATTTTTTAGAGCTTTAAATATGTAGCTAATTCGATCGGTTGGCTGTAATTCGCCGCCCAAAAACTATTTGGCAGGTGTTTTCCTATTTACAGTCACCCCTGAACAGGCAAAGTGGCAGGATTTTGCTCTGACCGAATTTTTTTTTTCATTAAAATTATTTTTTCTGTTGGGTTTCTAGAGAAAGTAAAATAATTTTGGAAAATTAATCTCGAACTGTCGAAATCAACTATTTTGCCAAATAGCGAAATTTAACATTATATTTAATTTAATTTAATTGTTTATTTAATTGCACCTTTATTTTATACTACATTTTTTAATTATTTTTCTTTCTGTTTAAATATTTTTATTCATTGAAATACTTTATATTATATTTTAATTTATTTAATGTTTTTTATATATTGTAGTTTATTTTTTGTTAGTTAATTTTTTTCTAAATTTTTTATTTAATTTTATTTTTTATTTACTTATTTATTTTATTTTGTACTCTATTTTATTTTATTTTATATTATATTATTTTATTTTATTTTATTTTATTTTATTTTATTTTATTTTATTTTATTATTATTTTTTTTTTTTGTTATATAGATTTTATTATAATTTTTTTTTATTTGATTTTTTCTTCTTCTTCTTCATCTTGTTCTTCTTCTCTGCTGTTATAGACACCGCTTGCACGATTATAGATGAGTTAAGAATATTTCGCCGTTCATTTCCTTTTTTCGCTGTTTGGCGCCTGGTCCTTCCTTACCTGGCCTTTCCAACGTAGTCGAGGTCTTCCTCTGCTTACACTAGCGGGTACTGCATCGAAAACTTTCAGAGGTGGAGTATTCCATCCCGACCACATGACCCAGCTAAAGTAACCTCTGCTTCTTTATTCGCTGAACTATATCAATGTCGTCTTATACCGCGTACAGTTTATCATTCCATGGTGTGTGTTATTCAACATACCCCACGTTATTCACCAACCATAAATCTTGCGCAAAACCTTTCTCTCGAAAACTCCAAACGCCGACTCATCAGATTTTATCATCCTTCATGCCTCCGCACCATTTCACAGGATGACAATGATGAGCATGTGGTAGAGTTTGGTCATTTTTTGTCCTGAGAGGACTTTACTTACTGCCCTCGTTAACTACCAGACCCATTTGTTTTGCTTCTTAATCGAGCCTGGAGAAAGCAGAACTCAAGGCGCGGTTGTTTAGGTCAATAATGTCAATATAATCGGCGTACGCCAGCAGATGTCTTATAGAAGTTTGTACCTTCTCTGTTTAGCTCTGACGCTCGTACTACATTCTCCAGAATTAAATGAAAAAATAGCCTGATAAGGAATCACCTTTTCTGACTCTTCGTTTGGTATCGAACAGCTCGAAGAGGTGCTTCTTAATCCTGGCGGAGGTGGTATGTCTCGATTCTTTTTTTAACGATCTTTTCACAGATTTTACGCAGGGCTAATATCTTATCAATTGTAAGTCTTCCATGTCTAAAGCCGCACTGATAAATGCCAATCAGTTTGTTGAGGGTGGGGTCTACTTTTTCAAACATAACGCTCGATAGAGTCATGCAAACATTATTGAGGAAGCTTATCCCACGATGATTGGCGCAGATTATAGGTCCTCTATTTGTGAGTGGAGCAACACAACTAGAAGACTGGTGGTATGTCGTGTGCCTATCACAGCTTGATCAATCAGCTTCAACGCATTTGGAGATATTTCATCATGGAGGCTGGTTTTTTCGATAATTGTTTCGAATATATCTTCCATATCCACTCTGACCTAAGTCGGGATGTAGATGCAGCGATATGTTGTTGGAAACTGATGCGAATATAAGTATGTAGTTTGCGGTGGTCAAATCCCGGCAACACCAACAGCTAAAGCGACATTTGAACACAGCTTTGCGAACTCCCTACGACGAATGAAGAGTGAGACACATTTCCAAGCTATCGGAGTTCATCGTAGCTTGATTGCCGAGTGAGGTTTCGATTATTTGTGTTCTCTTCATCAACGAAAAATCTCAAATACATTAAAATAACAATAACAAATATTTTCTTTTTTTTTGTGTTCACGTTGGCATTAATAGCCTTTATTAATAGTACGAAGGTATGTATATATGTATATATATATATATATTTTTAATACAAATTCAAGTTACATTTTATGCCTCACAATTAGTTTAACTACATTTTTGCCGTATATATGCAAATTATTAATAATTAATAGTAATTTTTTAAACGAATTTTCATACAATACAATATGTACGTTTATTTTTTTTTTATTTTTTTGATTTTTTTTTTTTGATATTTTTAAAATTTTTTTATTTTATTATTATTTTTTGATAATTTTTATTTTTCATTTATTTTTTATTTATTTTTTATTTATTTTTTATTTATTTTTTATTATTTTTTTTTCATTTTCTTTTTCTCCTGTGTATATACTTTATTATTATTACGCTTAAATTTTTTTGTTTACTTTAAATTTATATATTTTTATTAAGGACTTTTTACTTATTGCATTTTTTTTAATTAATTTTTTATGCCTTTTAATATATTTTATATTTATAATATGTATATATATATTTTTTTTTGTATGTGTTGTATATATGTAAAAATTCCATAAATACATATAACATACAAAGTTGTGTTTTGTTTTGTTTTTGTTATTCTGGTTTACACGTTTGTTTGTTTTTATATATATATTTACTTTCAGCAGAAAATTAAGCTAGCAAAATGGGAGAAAAGTTATAGAAAATGTAAATATGTATAGTATATGTACTCGTACAGTTAGTTATTAAGGCGTGTGAAAAGTAAAACAATATTTTTTTTTTCCAAATTTTTAACCAGAGTAAATCGATTTGTTTCGCCATTTTTTTTTGCATTACATTGAATATATCATGAAAATTCATTAAAATAATTTATAGTTTAAAAAAAAAATTAGTAAATTATAAATTTTATATTAAATATCTAGTATAACTAAAAACGTTTTTAATCCTAATATTAGTATGTCACATGCCCTGCAAGTTAAATAAAAACTATTAATGAATGCCAAAACTAAGTTCAACAAATATATGTAGTTTGTAAGCCATTTTTATTTTCATGCATTATGAATATGTTTTTTAATCAACTATTTTCCGGCTTTTTATTCCCCAAATTTTTGATTATACTGAGCGTAACAATTTCAACTATTTCCTGCAACATGTACATATGTATGTATATACACAGTTTTTTTTTTTTATTTTTGATTTTGTTTTTGTGCCTTGTTATGCAAATTTTCAATTTGTTTAACTTTTTGTTGCATTCTTATTATCTCAATATCACATATGCTTCCTTTCGAATGCATTAAATTTCATTTGTAGGCTTTCAAATGCAACGTAAGGAAACATACATACGAATTTCAAATGTTTTATACTCTATTCACACACATTCAGTATATAATAAGTATGTAAAATTTACTACAATAATATAATAACTTCTTGACATATTTACTTATTTATATATTAAATTAAACAACAGTCATTTAAAGGTAGTGTAAAAGAGACATTTCGCATTTAACTTATTTATATTAAAAGGAAACATTTTCACGTTGATAAATGCATTAATGAAAAAATATTAATTTTTACATTAGTTTAAGCGCGCAATTATAATAAAAATTTTACAATTTTTTGGTACACTTTAAAAATTAAACAAAAAAAAAACAGAATTATATGTAGTAGATTTTCTTTTTGCGGTGCGTACTGTTGGCAATGGCGTAAGCAAATTTGTGCATAGATTTTAAATGCAATTAAACGCTTTCAGCTCAAGAAATGGTGGGCATAGGTGTGTCTGTGTGTGTGTGTGTATAAATTTGATTTTCTGCTTTGTGTGTTGATGTTCGAAAAGAAGTGCAGTCATTGTGAGGTTGAAGGTTGAATTTTTTACAATAAGTAATGCTTTTGTTGTTATTTTTCTTAACAATTTTCTTTGTTTGTTTGTTTGGAAAATATTGCTTCAAAAATACATTTTCGGTTTTATAGTCCAATTGTTGTTACAATTTTGGAGGGTATATATAAGTGCGTGTTATTGTTTTAGTGCTTTTTGCGTCTTTATTTTTGTTTTCATTAATTATTATTGTACGTGCCATCGCTTTATAATCACGTTCAAACATCATCGATTAGATGTCCCTCAACAACTGCCGAATGATGATAGCGGCTGCGTTGCGAAAAATCAGCATTTTCCTCATTCAATTGGGTGGGCGAGAAATCGACACCGGGGCAGGTGGGTGTCACCACAACCTGCTCGTATTCGTGCATGCGTTTGCTGGAAGTCAAAAGTGGTACATTTTAGGTTTGATATAAAAGAATTTTGGTGGGCAGAATAATTTAAACAAGAATATTAAATTTAATTAAAAGAAAGTAGTAATAAATAATAATTAAATATAAGAATTAACGAATTATTGGATGAGTGCATAAGTTCGTGCCCGATTTCAAGTGCNTTCACTCATCAAGAAAAATATTAAATAAATTAAAATTAAATCAAATTAAAATAAAAAGAAAATAAAATAAAAAAGAAATTAAAATGAAATGAAAATAAAAAAATTTAAAATAACATAAAATATAAATAAAAAATAAATACAAATATGAAAATAAAATAAAATTAAATATTTAAAATGAAAATAAAATAAAGAAATTTAAAATAAAATCAAGTAAAATTAAAATTAAATAAAATTAAAATTAAATAAAATAAAATTAAAATTAAGAAAATGAGAATAAAATAAAATTAAATAACATAAAAATAAAATAAAATTAAATAAAATGAAAATAAAATAAAGAAATTTAAAATAAAATCAAGTAAAATTAAAATTAAATAAAATTAAAATAAAATAAATTAAAAATACAGTAAAATATTATTAATAAGTATAAAATATAAAAGAAAATATAAAATAAAATAAAACAAAATTAAGTAGCATAAAATAAAATAAACAAAAAATTAATTTAAATGAAATATAAACAAATTAAATTCAAAAAATAAGATAAAATAAACAATTATGAAAAAAATAAAAGGAAATAAAATAAAAAAAATATAGAAATAATATAAAGAGAAATGAAACGAAGTAAAATAACATAATAAAATTAAATAAAATGTGATAAAATAAATAAAAGTATATAAATAATTAACAATAAAAAATGATATGAATTTAAAAAGAAAATAAATAAAAATTAAAAATTTTGATTTAAATAAACTGAATAAATTAAGAAATAATAAAAAACAAACTAAGACAAAACAAGTTTATGTAATAACGCTAAATTCTTTTAAATTTCCCTTATCAATGCCATTACATTTGCTTATCAACCACATAAATATTTTTTACAATGTAATTTACGCCTTATCACAGCGTGCCACGTTTCATATGATTCATGTCAACTATGTACTCACCCAAAGCATCTGAATATGACACTTTTAAGCCAAGCGAAGAAATTAAATTCCGCTGTCAATCCCGGCTTAACAGCCGGATTGGCGGTGCCCACATAGAACCAAACAATGAACACAACCACAAAACAAGTGAGCGCATAGTACCAGTTGACCAGCAACATGACCAGTAATTTTAAAAATGTCTACAAAGAGATAAAAAGATAAGAAAAAAATAGATGTAAACCGTAAAATTCTACCAACGCACCCCTATCAAAGACGCCCAACGATTACAGAATGGCGAATACCAATTCTTCGTTTTGGAGTGTATAGGCAGGCGTATGGGTGCTATAGGTTCTTCATCTTCGGCATGCTGATCTGTTGCAGCATTCTCTTGTGCATTTGTGCTATTATAGCCGTCTTGGAAAGCAACACCATTGGCATCACTACCATAATTTTGTTGTTGCTGCTGTAGTGGGATATGATTGCGTTCAGTCTCATGATTAGCTAACGCTGCGGCAGCTGCAGCAGCAGATGATGTATTTGAAGGCACATGATGTGGTGAATTTTGGGGTGTTTGTTGTAAGTTTTTATGCCGCACGCGATCTGGGAATAATAAGTCCAAATCATTACTCTCCTGACCAGGCGTTTGCGCAGCGCCATAACGTCGTGTCTCATATGACGGGCTGGATGCTTGGATGCGAAAACGTTCTTCACGTTGTTCTTGTATATCGAAAGTTTGTGCCAACGCAAAGTAGGAGTAATCAATGCAAGCATATGTTAGTAGGAAAGGCATAGTAACAATGGGCGCAAGAAAATTTATATCACCCACGATAATGAAGGAAACTGTAACGATGGCAACGACACCCATGGCGTAAAGTGGCACTTTATTGGGACCACGCTATAAGTTTGAAAAGGAAAAGCATACATTTTTGATAGTAAAATAACAGCAAAACACGAGCCTACTTACACCCTTGCCCAGCACATCAATACCGGGTATAACACTCTCATTAGCTATACTCTGCAATACACGCGGCGTGCCATACATGGCACCCAGACACGAAGACATACTGGATACATATATACCAGCGAGTAGCAGGAACGGCACAGCTGATACCTTGACAGATATCATGTAATCGGTCAGCAATGTGGGACGCGTGCAAGTAGCACCCAAAAAGAGCACAAATACCATATAAAGGAAGGTACTATAAAATAAATATAAAAAAGCTATTAAAGAAACACAAATGAAAGAGCTTCAACTGTTCTACTTACGACGTGCCAAATGCTGCCAATGTGCCATTTGGTATGTCAGTTGAGGGTGCGCGTAGATCTCCACTCATATTAATGCCGGAGAGTACACCTGTCACAGTGGGAAAGAATACACCGAATACACGGAACCAAGAATAACCATCTTCATATTTCGGCATTAAATTGTCCCAGAAATTACTGCTGGCCCAACCATCGAAGCCATTCTCTAAAAAATTAGAGACAATTTTTTATATAAATTTAAAATTAGAGTCTTTTTTACATATGCAAGTTTATACGTACCTGAATCTCCACCAATAAAACTGCCCACCATAAAATCCAAAGCCGACACTAGCAGTATCATTAGCAATATAAACTGTAGCTTAATAACCCACTTCACGCCCGCAACATTAATGCAGCCAAGCAATAACACGGCCGCGGTGGCGAATCCACGTATCGCCCATTTGTTGTCCTCTAGCCCAACCAGACCAGCCATACTCTCACCGAAACCCATTACATTTAGTGCACAACCAACCGCTTGGCCAAAACAGTAGAGCAAGCCGAGTGATCCACCAAATCGTGAGCCCAACGTGTGTGCTACAAGAAAGTATACACCGCCACTTTCTACACGACACCGCTCACAGATACCAACCGCCGAGAGCACTGACACTAACGCAATTACAACGGTGCAGAAAATTATTAAAACTGCATTAATTATGCCAGCTTGCGCTACAATCCAACCAGAACGTAAAAATACAATCACACCGAAAACATTTATAAGGCAGGAGGTGAATACGCCATCCCAGGTGCCGAATAGCACTGGCTGTGAGATAAAAAAATTCGAACGCCACCTGTAATAAAAAGTAATACAATTGTTATCAATCGTTTATTTTATTGTGCATTGTTTTTTTGCGTCATTTACCATGGTTTATCGCCTTGTTCGTCTGCGAATATCTCATTGCGTCCGGACGCTTGATGACCACCAGCTGCATATGTATATTCATTACCCAAATCGACAAAGCCTCCTGAATTGCCTCTTTGACGGAAATTCGCCACAACAACATCGCCTGGTCCATCATCATCCAATCCGAAGCGATTCCAGTCAACTTGACGACGTCCACTACCGTTAGCGCGACCGCTACCGCTGTTATTACTCATCGTTGCTTGTGCTGCTACGACTTAATGCTTACTACTAATTAGCTTTCTTTATTAGTTGGTTTTTTGTTTAACACTATTTTTGGTGCTCCACGCAGGCAACTTGCCCTGAATACACCACAAACAGCTTGAGCAATCACTGTTATCTTACTGTGTTACTTTGTTTATTCAATTACTTTTTAGTGTATATGTTTCCTTTTATTATTATTCCATATTTTAGCTTTTTGTAGGCGTGGTTTTATTCCAATTTTTGTGGTTGAGAAGAAATTTTGGTTTTACCAAAAAGTGCATTTACGACTTTTTTATTTATTTGTTGTGTGTGTGACAATTGTCAAACTGACGTCATTAGCACTGCTGCCAGACGGTAAATAGTGGAGGTTTTAGAGAAAATCCTTTATAAACAATATGTGCTTGAGATATTTTTGAGGCGTTCAGACAGTGTGCATTTTAAGTTTTTCTTTGAGCAAAAATGTTAAGTGTTTTCTAATTGTATAAAAAATATTTTAGGTTATGTCAAGCAGCGAATGTAAAAGTTCATAATTCGTTTTTTCCATTAGGTTGAATGTACAGAAAAGTACAGAACAATAATCCATGCCACCTTCTTAATGATTCTATTGAAGTTTGAAGAAGCGGAAGAGGAGTCTTCATCATGTCGCCTGTACACCACTAACATTGCGAAGCATCTATGCTTCCAATTAATGTCATGGTTTCAAAGCAGTATCTGTTGAGCTACAACCGCAGAGATCAGTCTTGCAGATGCCTGGAAGATAAAGGAAAGTATTACTCTACATGGAACCATCTATAGCAGACGAAGATTTTGAGCTGCCTCTGAAACACGAGTAATACTAGCGCTAGCATGGTCTGAGTATTGCATTAGACTTCATTTCTCTGTGCATACTGACTTGACACTGACCAAATTTGGCCGAATGAAAATCCGAATCGTTCCAGTATAAAGACTCGACTGTCTCAGAAACTTTTGAATTTCAGTCGCAAGCCTTAAAAGGCAATATTCCTGAACCCCTTCCCTGCAGAGGATCTCTAGCTATTCTGTATGTATCCTATGAGGCAATGTTCCGTTACAGTCTCGATAGCCTTTCAGAAAGATTTGAATATTAAATCTCTCGGACCACAGCTAAAGTTTATTTCCCATCATATCAAGTCCTATCTGTAGTTTGTAAATGGTTAGGGGTGGTGTACGGTATTCATCAGGCAGAATCTGTTTAATGGAGCCTGTTCGTCCGTCCTACAGTCCTCGCTACGTCTTAGCAACCAGGAGTCCAAACGAGGGTTTGTTCTATTACTGCCTGGCTTACACGAAAGATGATCATTTTCAGAGTACTCATTTAGTGTGCTCTATAACTTCCAAGACAACGTATGAACCGATGAACAGTGTGAGGTAGACTAACACAGGGAGGTGCTGTAAGTCTAGTATCAGTTGTCCGGTAGGAGAGTGGAAATTGATTGAGAAATATGCTGCCACGACTCCACTTCCAGTATCAAATGAAGTCTCATATAAAGTATAAAACGAAAAAATTTATTTTAAAATTTATTTTGCTACATTTTTCAGTGCTACATTTGTGAAAATAAATACAAAAATACGCTGACGCCCTTAAAATGGTCTGCGATATGTAGGATCTTGCGGATTGAATGGCGGTGTACCGGGAATTGGTGGAATACGACTGCCGCTTCCGCCCCAGCCTCTGTTGCCTTTATTCCAACCGCCACGATCAATGAACGGTTGAGGTTCTGCATGCGTCAACTGCGACATCAAAGCAATCACAGCTAGGATGAGAATACCGAAGAAACTTTTACCGAACATTTCGATTTGCGTTGAATGAGTAAGATGCTTGCGGCTTATTTGAAAGTTAAAAACTGATTGGTTCGTAGTAAAAATCTGAAGTTCATTTATATACAGGCGTTGTGAGTTATCGTCAAAACCTACGCTTCTTTTTTCACACGCTTCACAGGAGAACGTGAGAAGAAGCTAGATTTGTATGAAGCGTAGGAGATTCTTAGGGATTTACATACATACCTATATGCACACATTTGTATGCACAAAGCCCGAACGGTGAAAAATATTTCAGCAAAACTGATAAGCTGTCGTCGGGGGAATTTTTTTATTCGTCTTTGTTAATGAAGGAAAAAGCATGCCACAGACGCACTGAGTGCATCCCCATTGGTGAAATATTTCATAATAATTCTTATTTTATTTTTCGAAAACATACATACATAAAATTAGTTGGCAAGAATTTGTATTAGTAAACAAAGTAATGGAAATTCTTGAATTAGTCTGGAGTGAGCCCAATGAATACCCTGGAAAAGAGGTTGGAATGGTTTCTTAAGGTCAAGGGCGTGCAACTTATTCAAAACAAAAAATGTGGGAACAAGTTTTTTTATTAATTCAATACACTTTTAGACCAGCTTAAACTTTCCCCAACTCAAAGCGGAGGCCCTCCATAGTGCGAAGCTCTCTCTCCATCATTTTGGAACCTCAAGGTAAGCTGCTTTTAAGGCAAAGTCATTCCCTTCACCAACTTTATCGCTTTACCATGTGGAGGTGAGTTCCCAAAAGTCTTCGCTGACTTAATGCAGGAGACACTTCGTGTTGTATCGGTCTTCTTCTGCTCTAAGCGTTGTGAACTTTTCGTCAGCACAAATAAGTTGGATCTCGTGCTATTCACAACGACATGCAAGTTACTTGCGATTGATTCATCGAGTTTGTACGGTCCTCAGCTAAATCTGGGAACGACCGAGTAAACCTGGACAAGGGATTAAGCTAGACAGAGACAATGTATATAGGTAAGAGATACGAGAGGAAGCAGTCTATACATGAAAAAGTACTGTTGACAAGAGATGGTGTCAGGTTTTGTGCCGCTGGAGCTATGCATTAGTAGTAAAACCAAAAGTTCTTCGTGGAATCGAAAATGAAACCAATTCAATTTCATTTACTGAAAATTACTAGAGGACACCTGTCCATCGCTAGGAGGAATGGAATAATAACTACCACACTTATGCCGACAGTGTGGAAATACGCATGGATGGGAAATTCTGCTGTGGTGCATTCGAACGAAACCCTCCAATCAAACTCTCTTTCACGCTACCTACCCTTTCGGAGGGAGTTCTCTAAAGGACAGGTAAAATTAGTCTATGCCATCGGACATTTTGCAGTTTTGAACGAATACGAAGGGAATATTGAGTGAGTTGACTACAGAGGACTTGCAATGCTGAACATACGTCGGGTATGTCGGATATTAGGTTGAATAGCATGGATTAAGATCTACTACACTATCCAGGATTACAAAGACTCAAGGACAAAAGTTGCCGACAAGGAAGGTTACAACACCTTTCACTGGAGGATGATGTTGATTGGAGCCATGTCGCAATGTATTTTCTTCCTGTTGTGTCTAGGACTCTGCTGAGATTTCAGATATTTTTTGTGACATCAGTGAAAATCGCGGTGTTAGCGAGATGAAATACTGACTGCCAACCGGCACTAACAGCAACCTTGGGTTTTAGAGGAAAAAGAACTTGCATCACAAAGACATTGAGATTCAGATCTAGCTGAAAAGGATATACATACCACGGCAAAAATCATAAATATCGGGCAGAGATGTGGCAGCTGTTTGCAGAGAACGAGTAAAGATCAATGTGACATTAGATTAAAGAGGCTCCCTCTGATGGTGAAGATGTAAAAATTAAATTATATTGTCTGTGTTTAGAGTTCTGATTTCCAAACTCTTCTCTATTACGCCTATAATGAAGGGCATAACGTGATTGAATGTGTAATGGACTATCGCGAAAGTTCACAAAAATGTTGTCTACTTTAATGAGTATATTTATAGACAGCCTTATTTATTAACTTTTTGTTTGTAGAAAATTTTAATAGAGTCAAAAAAAAAATAAAAATAAAATTAAAAAAATAAAACTAAAAAAAAAAATAAATAAAAAAAAAAAATAAATAAAAAAAATGAAAATAAAAAAATAAGAATGAAAAAAAAAAAAAAACAATTCAAGAAAATTAAATTACGGTTTTTATTTAACAACATCAATGTTTAATTTGTCACAATTGTTTCATGCTGTTGTTTTTACTGTTATTACTGTTAAACTTATATTTTTAGCAATGCATTATTTAGCCTTTATTTCAATAATTTCGTAAATACGAGCTGAAGAGATATTTTTAACATACTTTTAGGCGCTTTTGCAATTACATATACATATATATAGCTATATAATAAATTCTCATAAAAATTGTTTGAATTTCCATTCGAAAAAAAATCAAAAAAAAGCATTTGCCTTACGTTTATTGTTATAGAGCAAGAGAAGGCCTCACAATTTAAATTTAGCATTTTTCTTTAAATTAGTTTGCATACTTTTAAATACATATATTTATTTTCTTTTTTTTTTTCTTTACATTTTACGCAGTACACATAAGAAGGCAATAGACTTACAACAGCAGTTTATATATTTATTTATTAGTTGAATACTTTATTTTACGAAAAGTAAGACATATATTTAGTTTAGTTTTATTTCGTAAAGTTCAATAGATATATTTTTTTTGTGGCACAAAAATGGCCGAAAAGCTTTTATTTGAAAGAAAAATTTTGCGTATTTCTATTATTTGGACGTTAAATTTCAGTTAGAGCGCTCATTTTGAGCAACTAATAAGCCTTATGATGATTATTTAATATTTTTTTTAAGTGTAGGATTTTCTCAAGATAACAGAAATAGTTATTTTAACATAGTTCGAGACGTAAGCTTAGTATTTTTTATTATTATTATTAACCTGTCAACTGTAGCACATTTTTTGTTTTATGATTATTGTTTTTTTTTTTGAGGCATTATTTGTACACTTCCGTATGGGTTTTGTCTTTTTTATTATTAGATTTAAATTTTATCTTATTAATATTTTGCTTCGATTTTTATGTGGATTCAGTTTGAAAACAATTTTCTCAATGGAGTAAACAAATGAAGGGAAAGCAGCTAAAATGGGTATCAGAAAAACTAAACAACTTTCCGTAGCGTTAAAGGAAATTAACGAAAATAAAGCTAAAGCAAAATTAAGAAGTCTAAAAAGGTTACAGCCATTGAAACTAAGATTTAAAACTGATAGACTAAGTCTTGCTTATAGAACTCTAAATGTTCGGGTGTTCAGTATTGCGAGTAGCCCACTCGTTCGATACTCGTTCTTTGCTCGATTGCTTAATTTTCGGTTTGAAATTTTTCAATTTTGTTTGTTCGAATTTCTTTAGTATTTCGATCCCTTTGCATGAATAAAATTAAAATTATAGAAAAAATGTAAAAATTTTCGTTAAAAATGCACGTGCTCGTGCTCAAGTAGTTTTCGAGCAATGAACAAGTGTACTCGTTGCTCAAATACTCAACACGCTCGAACAAAATCTTGAGTTTTGATAATCCGAAGTAATTGAAACGAATGCGAGAAAAATTTTTCTCATGAGGAAAATATTTTTTGAAAGTGGTGAAATTTGACGATCGAATGCCTGTTTATAAATTACAAATATGTATATAAAATAAAAATTAAAAATATATTAATAAATAAAACAGTAGAAAATTAAAAAAATATTAAAAAAAAAACATTAAAGAAATAAGAACAAGAATAAAAAATTAAAAATATGCTAATAAATAAAAAAATTTAAAAATAAAAAAATATTTAAAAAAATATTAAAGAAATAAAACAGGAATAAAAAATTAAAAAAAAAAAATACAAAAAAAAATTAAAAAAAATTTAAAAAAATTTAAAAAAAAAATTATAAAAAAAAATTAAAAATAAAATAACAATATAAATAATTTAAAAATAAAAATTTAAAAAATTAAAAAAAAATATTAAAGAAATAAGAAGAATAAAAAATTAAAAAAATACTAATAAATAAAAGAATTGAAAAATTAAAAAAAATAATTGAAAAATTAAAAAAAAAAAATTAAAAATGAAATAGCAATATAAATAATTTAAAAATAAAAATATAAAATATTAAAAAAAATATTAAAGAAATAAGAACAAGAATAAAAAACTAGAAAAAAAAATTAAGAATAAAATAACAATATAAATAATTTAATTATTAGAAAACAAAAAATTTGATATATATAAAATGAAAAAATAAATATGAAAAATTAAAATACAAAAAATGTAAAAATAAAATTATTAAAATTAAAAACAAATTAGATATATATAAAAAATAAAAATTTACAAATTTCGAAATATATAATAAAATAGGAAAATATAAAAGATTAGACATAAATAAATAACAGATGGGAGCAATATAAAAATTTAGTTAAAAAAAATTGTTAAAAAAAAAAATTATTTTAAATATAAAAAAATGATTGAAAAATACTTAAAAAAAACATATATATAAAAATTAAAAAAAAAAACAGATATATAAAAATTAAAAAACATTTTAAATCTGAAAAAATTATTAAAAAAAATATAAAAAAAAAATATTAAAACAAATATAAAGGAATAAAGTGAAATAAAAATTAAAAGGCAAATATTATTTTGCTTCACTTTTACCTAAAAAAAAAAATAAAAATATAAAAAATAAAAGAACTTTATATTGTATATTTCTATTTTTTTAATTTGAAGTTAAAAAATATATAGAAAATAGGGAAAATATAATAGATAAGAAATATATATAAGATAGAAAATGCAAAAATTAAAAATATATATAAAAAAAATTTTGAAAAATATAAAAAACCAGAAATATAAAAAATTTAAAAACTTTTTTTTAGAAAAAAAATTATTAAAATTTACAAAAAAAATGAAAAATATAAAAAAACGAATATAAAGAATACAGCAAATAAAAAAATTACAATTAAAAAAAATATAAGTGAAAAAATAATATAAAAAATAGAACAAAGATAATAATTAAAAAACTTTATTATTTTGCTCAACTTTTACCTAAATTTTCTTCCATTTTAACATCAACTTTGCTTTGCAATTGATCAAAATTTGCATGCAAATTTTTTTATTTTTATTTCATTTATTCGGGCTTATGTTAAAACGCTGGATATAAAATATAATATAATTAAATGAAAAATGTATATGTATGCATTATGTTTTTTAAGAACAGTCCTAAATTCTTTAAAAGCGCCGTGATATCTATACACTGAATATTTTTTGATGTTAAGCATTTGCTTACTGCACTAAATAGTTTTGAAATATTTGAATTCTATTCGAACTTTTACGTTTTTCCTTTTTATTTTTAAATTTATATAATATATTTGAATATTTATGCTTTTTCTTTGCATAGCAATTTCGTTGATAATTTGGAATTTATGCCGTGTATCATCATGCCGAAATCACAGTTAGTCTTATTTCAACTAAATTCTTTTATTTCTGGCTTACATCGCATGTATGTATGTTCTTCTTTTAGTTTGTTCATTAAACTTTTGCTTAGAATATATATGTATATAAAAGAAATTAAATTTTATGCCATTTTAAAAGCTCCTCCTCTTTGCCTCTCCATTGGAATGCTCCTAACATTGAAATGTCACACTGAGCGCATTCCGCAACTCATTCAAAACCATCGATCCAATCACCATCTTCTCACAATTCACCAACAAGCTCAGCTGCTCACCTTCAGCTGCTTGCCAATCCAAAGTAATTAAAACCAGACTTTTCGAATTCATTGTTTGACCCACAAAATGCAACACATCCTTGTTGGCATCACCGGTGGCAATGTATGCTACATTAATACATTCAAATATACGTTGTTTAATGGCCGCAAGATCCACTGCGTCGTGCCTCAATTGCAAGCGACTCTGATGCTCATTCATGCCACGTAATTTGGTACGTTCTTCCTTAAAATACGTTTCGCTAATCTGCACTGAACGAACCAATTCCCCCACCGGCGGTTTGAGTGTTACGCGCGACTTCCCGGCGCTTGAACTGATTTCCAGCTCAACCGCATGCGTGGAATCATTGAAGTCAATGCCAAGCACACTGGTGCCCATTTGTTGGGGTTGCAGGCATTGCAGTGGTGCAAACTCATTGAGATTCATACCGGCAGGCAACTGTTGTTGGCTCAGATGTATATTGGTTATTTCATTATTGGATAAATTCAAGAATTGTAGCTCTATTGAAACCATAGCGGAGGAATATAGATGTGGTGCACGCGTAAAGCGATAGCTGACTTGCAAACCATGTCCAGAGAGTTTGTTCAGCAATTCGCGATGCTTGAATTCGATGTGTGAAGGGCCGACCAATTCGATGCGATTGGCGGCGCTGATGGGCAAGAGGCCTACGGCACCACCTAGTGGCGTAGCTACAAGAATTAATAATAAAATTCATTAATTAACAGAAAGGCAAGGGCTTTAAATGAAAAATAGCTCACCAGGTGTTAGAAAACCACCAAGTGATGGCGTCATAACTGGACCTACGGGCGGTATGTCATCTAGGTCGAGCAGCAGATCCAAATTACTTTTCGTTGACGCTGCAGCGGTGGCAGTCTCTTGCACAACCGTAGTTTTTTCCTTCTCTTTCAACTTTGCTTCCTTGGCTTTCTCTTTGACACGTTGAAATTTACGTTTCTTTTCACTCTCTGTCTCCGATTCGGAAGATTCTGAGCCATTCTCCGAGTTTGAACCACTATCTGTGCTAGTTTCAGATGAGCCATATGAGGAAGATTCACTGTCGGATGTGCCTCCGCTTTCGTTGTTACCGTTATCATTGGCATTCAAGTGTATATTGTTGTTGCCATTGCTGGTCGTCGCGTTAACCAACACGTTAGTAGCCGACTGCTTGACCTCGTCCTCTTTAGACTGTTTTTGTGTTTTGGCAGCAGCTACATCATTCACCTGATCTGTTTCCGATTCAGAGGATTCACCATCACTCGATGACGATGACGACGAGCTACCGCTAGAGCCAGACCCTGAGTATGCGGAAGATTTCTCTGATTCTGAGAAGAAATTCTTATCATTATTTGCATGTGCATTCCTGTTGCTCTGTTGCTTTTGTGGCGAACGCGAGGCAGCGCCACATGTTGAGCTACCAGATGCGCCGCCTGCAGCTGTAGGGCTAGATTCCTGCATATAACCCTCAATGTTACGTACCGACGTATCGGGCGCTTCTGTGGGAAATGGTGGCAAATCCTTATAACCAGTTGCACGCATATTTAAATAGTGCGATAGCGAGCCAAGTTGATAGTGATCACGCTCACAGTATTTGCTCTCCAAAGCGGGTTTAGGTTTTGAAGAGAGAAAGATTTTGCGTGCATTTTCGGAGAGTACAGTAGTGCGACCATTGGCTGGGAAAATAAATTGGCGTAAAAAGCGTGCGCGATCGCGTACGTCATAGTTGGGATCATAACGGGCCAAGGTAAAAACGTATTGGCTGAGTAGCGATGTTTGTTGTGGATTAGAGAGAAATAATTTCACGCCAAGATTTAGTATTTGTAATTTAACAACATCCTCCTGTTAAAAAAAAAATAAAATAATTGAACATTATTAAAGAAATTATGAATTTTAAATAATTTAATGAATGTATCACACACCTCATCAGCAAATGTTTTGGCCATTTTACGCAGTACATCTGGCGCTATCTTCGGCACTTTCTCGTTATATTCGCCAATAAGCCATAATATTGAGGCGCGCGCTGCTGGTATGGTAATGTAGTCAATCAGTTTTGCCATTTGTGAGATGATTTCAAAATGCTCCGCAGATTTGGATTGCAGTAAATTCTTTATAACAACCACACTCTCGGCCACAACGTGCTCTATACAAAGTTAAAAAAAAAATGCCTATACTTTTTTAATTAAATTATTTCTTCATTTTATACCCACCATCACGATTGGAGAGTAAATGAACTAAGCCGTTGAGACAAGTTTCAGTCACCTCCTTTATGGATGCGGCACAACGACCGATAGCCTGTATTGTCGCAGCAACAAATGAACGATCGCTACTGGAAATGTACGTTTGGAATTCGCGTAAAATCAGTGCAATAGTCGTTGCCGATGCCAAATTGGTCAGTATATCCAATTTGAGTAATTTAATGTGCGTTGGATCGCTAGTTCGCACAAAGAACGACTTAATATGTGGCTCAAAAATCACTTTGCGCTTGGTCGACATTGATGCAATGCAAGTCAACACAACACTTTGTACCTCTTTGTGTGAACGCAACAAACGTATTAGTGCTTTGGCAATTAGTTGTACCTCATTACGTGGTGCCACATGATGATACAATTGAGCCACAGCCATTACAACTGAAGCGTTGCGGGATTGTAGTAGTGGTTTAGTTTGACGTAAGAGTAGGCGATGGTCCAAATCTACATGATACGATGACGATGAGGAATAAGTGCGTTCATTTGCAGTATCCGACTTAGATTTAGTTTTGTTTTTCTCATGCTTTTCATTGCCACTTTCATCGGATGATTCGCCAGTAGTGGAATCTTCGTAAAAATTTTCCTTTCCATCTTCCTTTTGTCTATTAGTATCATCAGCAGCTTCTTCTGCGTTGGGATCAACAAATTGGGTGCGCGCATAACGTGTTAACATATTAATTATAATCACTTGACCCCATTCATCTACATCGACTAGCAAATTGCATAGTTTACGATAGTTTTTGTGTATAAGATCAACCCGCTCCGGACATACCTGATAAAAAAACCCATAGAAGATGAAAATTTGCTTTCAAACAAAACATAGCATGCTCTTGCAGCTTAAAATTCAAAATCAAGAATCATTAAATTCTAATATACAAAACATATTTCTCACCTCGTCGAACGCCATTACCGCCGAACCAACAACAAGCGTTGTACGGTCGGAGAGTAACTTTTCGATAACTGTCACCAATTCTTCTTTTTGTTCTGGATCCAGTGAGTATAGTTTAGGTATAGCATGCGCTGCAGTCTTACGTACATATGGACTCATATCCATAGCACTGTCACGTATAGCCAACATAACAATTGGCACAATCATGCTTACACGTATGGATGACAAAACACGCAAAGCAGATGCGCGTATTAATTGATTCGGATCTTTCAATGCACGTTGGAATGTTGATATAGACAACAAAGCTAAATCCTGCTGCTCTTCGGCATAGCGCACCAAATAAACATAAACCAATTTCTTTACTTCTATATTTTTCGAAACCACATTTTTCACCACAGCAGGAAATAAATCACTTGCATCACGACCGCGCGCTATCATGCCAATTATACGTTTCATTGCTTCCAATTTAAGACCATCCTTGTTACTATCCAGCATTTGTTTTAAATCATCATGTTTACGTCCCTCTGATTGAAAGAAGGCACCACTTGCTGGATCTGAGCCAAATTCCACATCTAAACCCATTTGTGGACTGGTGGAGGAGGAGGAGTAGACGGCAAAAGGGCTGCTGCCGGAGGCGCTGGCTTGTTGCTGCATGGTGCTGTTACTATTACTGCTGCTCCGGTTTTGGTAAGCGCTTCCAAACAGACCAACTGGTGAGGCGGAAGATATCATTCACAGCACTGTGGCGGTGGACAAGTTAATAAAAAAAAAACACTGGAAAAGTTTGCAAAAATGATTTCACTTTGTTCTCTGTTGTGTAGGGTTGTATGTGTGCTTACAGTATGACAATCTGTTGGTATTTGAGGGAGCAGATGTAGGAGAATTGAAAATCGTGAAAAATGGTGTAATAACTCAGCTAAACCTTAAATACGTTAGCATTTAAACACTAATACACTTCTGGACTTTTCAAAGATATTTTGCAGGCGTTTTCCTTTCCAAATTCTAGAGAATATTTGTAAAAATTAACACACTTCACTTTATCTTTACTGCAAAAATTGATGACGTTTTGTTCTCTGCTGCAGAAAATCTCTGTCTGCTGCCATTTACAGTGCTGTAAAGTGCAGTGAACGGAAATGAATACTACTCAATTCAAAATTTATTTCACACTCAACACAAATATTATAATTAACAATCACTGCATGAAAATGCTTCTTTTATTTCATTATACTATTTTTTATTAAAAAGTAAATTACAATAAAAGAACTCTGTAACAAATTAAATGTTGTTACACCCTGGCGATTACTTTCGTCACGTACCAAGTACTTTCACAACACAATTTTGTTTTCCTTTTTTTATTATGCGGTGCGAAAATTTGTTGTTTACCTGGCAGGAAAAATAAGGTTAGGCCTAAAATTGACAAAATAATAATTATTATGCGTAAATAGTAATTTAACTACATTGGAAAGCAATAAAAAAGCAATTAAAATACGTAACAAGTGACCACCGATTAAAAATGAGCTTCCCTTTGACGAATCCCAATAAGGAGACGATACGAGCCGCTTGCAAGAAATGTGGATACGCTGGTCATCTTACATACCAATGCCGAAACTTTTTGAAGGTAAATCTGTACATACAGTACTTTGTTAATGAAATTTGTACAAAATGTAAAATAATCATCAGGTTGATCCAAACAAAGAAATTGTACTTGACGTGTCAAGCACCAGTTCGGACTCGGAGATTGATTATCTCACGCCATTGACGGAATTACGTATGAAAGAGTTGAAAGAAAAAGAGGCGGAACTGCTTAAAGCTGAAAACGAGAAGAAGCGTAAGAAATCCAAATCCAAATCGAAAAAATCTAAAAAATCATCATCTAATAAAAAACGTAAGAAAAGTAAAAGTAGTGGAAAAAGCAAAAAACACAAAAAACAAAAGGATTCCTCAACCGATACTAGCGACAGCAGTAGTAGCAGCAGTAGCTCAGATTCTAGTAGTGAAGAGTCTGAAACTGAGTCAGACTCAAGCGATAACGAAGACTCGCCCACCAGCAGTGACGATGAGTATGGTCGTAAGAAAAAGAAGCAAGGCAAGTATAAGCGTAAAGCCGATACACCGGCTATGCGCCGTAAGAAAACTCGTGTGAAGCGCAAACGTCATCGCGCCTCCGCACGTCCTCCCAGCAGTGATGAAGACGAGACAAGTTCGGACTAAAATTGGTTGTGGTGGTGTGTTATGAAATTTTTATTTTTTAGAAATTTGTGCGCTTAAGTGGTTTAGTTAAAAGTAGTAGGCAATAACTAAGGCACATCTCTCCATATTACTTACTTTTAAGTATATAGAAGCATACATTTGTATTTTATAATATTAAATTGGTTTTCAATTATATTTTAAAATGTAAATTGATTTTAAATATGTAGCTATGATAACTATAAGTATAATCTCACAAACACTGTAACCATACCCATATATATACAGACATATGTACATATGTAGCTAATAGAGCAACCACTGCCCACTACTAGTAATAGAGAATACATTCATAAATTGCATACAAGCCTATTTAACGTTAATATTAAAATCATATTTTATCTTATTTTAAAATAAGTCGACTCAATGGGTATGTGTTTCGTGTTTATACAAATATTATGAATTGAATATATATATATATTTAGTTAAATTATATTTCTAATGAAATAATGTAGCTTTATTTCACTACACCATTATATAAAGTCCCGATTGTTGAACTTTGCCAAGCCTTAGCGAGTAAATACTCTTGATAAAACCAACACAAATCAGGCAGTTAATGCTGCAGTCAATAAATGAGTTGTTCATATAAATTATAAAGAAATATAACAACTAATTATGCCACAAAATTAAATATTTGTAATTATTTGGACAAATTTTGGTACGAGTATAGACAGATACTTTATTAATTTACAAAATAATTTTATAATTGTAAGGACACACATACATATAAGCATAGGTAATTGGAATTTTATTGCAATCACGCTACATTCCACGAAAAGTTAGGCATATGCTTTTGGAATGACAGTCACTTATATGAATTTATATCGTTCCTGTTACATGGGTAATGTTATTATTTTGTTTGTCTTTTTTTTTGCACAAGCATACACCCACTACACTTTAGGTGTATATAAAGTTATTATTCTAAGCTCTCCATTGCTTTGAGCGTTTCTTCGCGTATAGTTTTTCCCACTATTGCTACTACGGCATGTTTTTGCATTGGCACTATATTCTCTAATTTCGCAGCTAAGCTTGCATATAAATTGTTCATAGTTTTCTTCAATACTGTTTCAATTTGTTGTTCAATTGTGTTTCCATTTTCATGCAGCAGATTACTGCCTTCAGCGGTATGTTGAGTGCCCAACTCCGCATTGGATTTTACATCCAGTTGCTTCTGTAGTGCTAAATTTTGAGCCTGAAATTCTTGCAACAGATTTTGTGTTTCTCCTCCTCTTTCCTTGCTCTCCTCGTAACGTTGTTTTTCCGCCTGTATTTCATTGTTACTTTCAATTAATTGTTTTCGCAAATCACTTTCTAAACATTCTTTGTCTGATAAAACTTTTTGTAAAGTTTTCAATTCATCCTCCAATTGTTGTTTACTTGCAATGATATTTGCTAACTCGTCTCGATTGTTATTAAATTGTGACTCATGTGTTTTTAATAGTAAACTTTTTTCTGTAAGTTCTTTTTCCCATTGCTCTAATTTTTCTTGCATTGTCGTCCGTTGTTTCAATAAATCACCCACAATCCTTTCTAGGCTATCAACATTGGCTAAATTTGCTTCCTCCAATTCTGTGCTATACATCTGCATTAGTTTTTGCCAACTTGCATTTGTTGCATTTACGTTACTTTCCTCAATTGTTTGCCGAAGTCTTCTATTCTCCTTCTTGAGCTCTAATACTTTCTCCTCTAGTGTTAATAATTCATCTTCTTTATTTAATTTATGGCTAGAACTGGCTTGAAGTAAATCAATTTTGTCAATGACTTTTTCAACTTTGCTCTCCAATCTGTTAATGTTCATGCGTAGCTCAGAGCTTTGTGTACGATTCTCAGAGAGCATCATTTGCATAAACTGTGTCTCGAAACTGCTGTTCACATTAGGTGTGGGATATTCACTAATTTGGCTCACGGGAAGTAATTTGGCTGTTGTCATTATTCTACTACTGCGTGGTGTTATGGGATGTGTTATTGGAGTGAACATTGTCTCCGTATCGGACGAGTCGGTGACATCTGCGCTACTTTCCAGGTGTGGTGGTGTTTTCATTTTTGGTAATTCCTTACCCATTTTGGCCATGCGTGTTATTAACGTTGACTTGGTTGGTTTTGCAGCCGTAACAGTTGGACGTTCAATGGGTTTCGAAATAATTGGTGCACTCATTGCAATTGGTTCTTCATTTTGATTTTCTCCCGTTTCTGGTGCTGAAATACTTTCCTGCGGTTCACCTGCTATGTCTTCACTTATTTTGATATTTATTTCATTCAATTTGCGTACAAACTCCTCAGTATTGTCAATGGTATCAAAATAAACGCTCCAACAACATAGCGCATCATCATAAAACTGAAGGTAATTATCCTTTCGATGTATTTGTGACAGTTCAACGTGCAGTGAGCATGTGGTAAGCACATTAAATTTTGCTTTGTAAATTATAATACGATATTCATTCTCAATACTTTGCAACAATGCCACACCCACTTTGCCAATGGGAACACGATCCTTATAAGCATGAACAACTTTTGCTAGAAGAGTTTGCCAAGTTTGCGCTGTTATGGTAGCGCTTGAGCTGGTACTTTTATTAGCATTTGAACTAGTCGATGCCTGCTTTGTGGGTTGATATTTCAACGATTCTTCTTTTTCATCAGAGGTACTACGTTGGGTCTCATTTCCGAAAAGATTATCCAAATTTGTGTTTTGTCTAAAAATAAGTAGAGATTTCAACAATATTACAACCAAATATGATATGATAAGTTAAGATTTTATGTCGAATAAACTTACCGCTTCAACACTCCGAAAAAATCTTCATCCAAATTTCCATCCAATGTGAAATCCATTTTTAAAGCATTTCTTAAACCACTATATAATTTTAAATTACATCGAACCTTTTACTAAAAATTATATATTTTTTGAAAAGTACATATCAAAATTAAATGGGAATGAAAGATTTTGATTTACAAACAATTAACAGCTGTTAAACAGCTGACAATAAAGTGATCTAGTGTTACCAGAAAAAAGTTTGGGATTTTGTTTAACTACATAAATTATAATAAGTTTAAACCAAGTTTAACGTTTAAACTCATCTCACAATGGTTTTAAGGTTCGTCCTCACTTGGCCATCTCCTCGGGTTCTTCATAGTCATGCTTCTCCGACCCAAAACTTTTCTTTAACCCGTATTCTGACTAATCTTAATTATTGATCCATGATTTTGGATTCTGCGGACCGTAACATCCATATTGGTGTAGTTTTTGCTTTTAATATGTTTTATCAAATTTGTTTTATACCATGGTTTAACTCGAGATACTTAATACAGACGTTGGACAGTATTATTGCGTTATACTTCAGGGTTTTTTTTAGTTTTAGACTGAGTTTACAGCTCCTTACTCAATTTGCCAAGATTTCTAGAATACTTCATTACCTGCTTGCAGCTGTAGCCATGGGTATTTTGTATTTTGTTCACAGCTATTTCAGCTCTACCGGAAGGTCATAGTAGGAAGTTCATCAAACGCCACCAATCTCTTAGCGAACTTCGCTGTAAAGCCTTCCATTGCAAAGTCGATAGGTGTTAGGATGAGTAACCTTGCGAGTGTAGCCGTTGAAGTAGTTCTTAGCGCCGCTGTGTTCATCTCAAAGGTTTCCTGGTTGAGATTATGCTAGTCGCACTGCACTACATCAAAAAATCGCCCTCTAGCTTGAATATCGCAGTTGTAGCACCAATCTTTGAGGCCATTCGACAAGCACCCAGCATTTTATTACATACCTCATTGAAACCCTTGTCATAAAACAAACCCATTCCTAGCCTTTTTCAGCCTTTGCTCAAACTTGTGTGCTTTTGATATTTTTCGTAACAAAGGTTCCAGTTCATTTCGAGCCGAACGACCATGGAAGCTTTATAATTTATGAGAGAAATGCGCTATGAGAGCTTGATGGTCTTTGCCGAGGGTCGACCGCAATTAGTAAAAATTAACTTACTTTTTAATCTTCGTCGGGCCAGTACTCGAATTCATGATATTTTGCTTAAAAAGCTGCATTGCTAACCACTGATATCCCAAATTACTAACAGGTTTTCAGTAAATCGCTTAATTTTAAGCCCCAACCGGTTGAGCCTCGGAGTTCGCAGAGATCTTTTAGAATCTTGTAAAATATATCGAATCTCTTTCATCGGTATTAAATTGGCCGATTGTTGGTTGTCATTAGTGCATGGCTTTTAGCACGTACTCTACCCCGTAATCTGGTTCTTTGGTCACCTACAGAGTTGAGACCTTTCAGTGAACTGCAAAATGGGAAGAAGAAAGGGTCGACTACGGCAAATCCCCATGTCACAGCAAGTTACCGTTACTCCCGCCGGTGGACTGGTATCCGGGAGGCTCCGTTCGAATACATTCCGACGCCCCTGACTGCAAACCATCCAATGGGCACGGACACGCATGGCACACTGGACTGGGGGTGGAGGAAGGCTATGTTCGACACCCTCCAGGTCTAGATCCATAGTGTTTGGTTGGTCTAACAGCGCCACCTCTAGAAGAATGCGATTCCTCATCGCGAACTAACGGTCTTGGTAGGAGAGAGGCTATTTACCCCCTAATGGCGACTGTATTCCGCTTCATCATACCCTGCCTCGGCTTTGCCCCAACTTGCTCGTTACAAGTAATGCTATACATGCCATCTGTATAGGAAATTAGTTGCTATTCCTACAGATTTTTTCAAAAGCTAAAGGAGTTAGGACAATGTATCACCCTAAAAGGGTCCCCTGCATGGTACCCGGACTGCTAGCTTTATGGGAGACATTCCATTTACATGTATATGTCCAGAAACATATCCAGGTCGAATTGCTTATGCTCTGAGAGCTCCCTCTACATTTGGGGTTAGTAAGTGAAGTACAGTCTCAGTGTATCATGAAGCGCAGGCGTGTTGAGGAAAAAAATAAGAAAATTATTTTACAATAAAATTTTTTATGGACACTATAAACTTTGACTTCCTTCCTTCCTTCTTACGTCTTCTACATAAATAAAGACTTGTACTCGTATGCAGTTAATCATAATCCGTCAATCACCTCAACATATTTGACGGCCGACCACTAATTAGTTGATGTTATTTTCGCACAATTTTTACTTCTTTTCGCTTTTTGGAAAAGAAAACAAGCTCATAAAAGAGTATTTTATTATTTTCTATTAATAACTGTATTTATTCCCAATGCAAACTAGCAAGCAAACATAAGATTGCTCCCATGATAAGCATAGCTACTGCGCCTTATGTTATGTATGAGATTACCTATTGGTTGACCTCCAAACCACGCACGTAGTCCGTCCGTGAATTCGAAAGGTATGAACAACTACATAGATATGTATGTGCATGCATACAATCATGAGAACTGTAAGCGCAAGAGATTAACATTTTGGAGTTGACTTTTTGGATTATGCTTTGTGGTAAACAAATGTCTATCACTTTGTTAAATACAAATGTGTACGATAAACCAAAAACAAAAAACAAATAATAACAAAACCAAAAACAAAAACAAAAAAAAACAACTGTTGCTTTCTGGTTCCGCTACTTGTTGATATGAATTTCAGTTGCAAAACTTTGTTTTTGTTCTCATTCTTCGTGCTTTTTTTGCTTTTAACACTTTTATGCTTTGTTTTCATTATGATTTTTAACTGAACTTGTTTTTTGTTGGTGCTAAAAATGGCGGTTTGTTTACGATTCGGCTGCTTGGAGCCGGTATGTTGTGCTTATATTGTTGTTGTTGTTGCCGTTTTTTTTTTTACTAAAAGGCTTGAGGGCGCGCGTTGCTTTTTATCATTACTCGAATTTGACTTTAGTCACTTGTAAATAATAATAAATAAATAATATATACATATGCATGCACATACTTATGTATTAGATAAAAAAAAATGTTTTGGGAAGGTGTTGATATAGCACGACGTTTTACAACGCACGTTTGCCGTTCTAAAAGAATTTTACATATGTGGTTACATACAGCATGCGCCAACCATGTTCGTACACGCCTAAATTAAATTACTAAATTAACACCATACGCCTTATCTATATTAGCAAAATTCACTTTTTTATATTTAAATGCAATTTTTAGCTGTTAGCTTATGCTTTTATATTTTAATTTATCCAAAAAGTTATAATTAACCAATAATAATAATACATATTCCAAATAAGACAAAAATGGCTTAAAATTTAAATCGTTCGAGTACATTTATGGTAACCTTGTTGAAATTTCCCATTCCTTTGGTGTGGCATTCCCAAAGAACAAAACGGAATATGCGCCGTTACTTGAAAATTTTTAAAATTTCACTAAAGAAAGTTGCATATTTGCTCTTTCTCCTCAAATTTGCCATTTTTCGTTTACTGAAAATTAAAAATGTGTTTTAAATCAATTTAAGAATAACGAAAATGAAAACCTAGTTACAAACTTACCTATGTACATATGCAAGTATGTAGAAGTGAATGGCTTAGTATAATTCAATTTGCTACAATTTAGTAGATGGAAATTCGGTCCATGAGGCTTTTCTTCATAACTCATGTGGCGTCCATACATCGGCCAAGACATTTTTTGGCAATATTTAGCTCCTGGGCAACAGTGCTCACATGACGATCAAAATTACCGAAACGAAATCGAGGAAACTAAAATTGTGCATGAATGACTACCAAAGTATCAGGATCATAACACACAGGTTCATATTTTCAGCTGCCTGACTTGTGTTTTAGCCTTTAACGACGAAAATCTTGTAAAATTAGCGTATTCTGCTCAAACCCCTTTGAGTTAAGTGATCCCATTGTCTTTTTTTTAGTACAAAAACTCATCTTTCTAACGTCATCAAGCGTAATACAATCACACTTATGGAACGCTAGATACAGATCACTAAAGCCATGTATTGCAAAAATAATGGATTACTTTTTACTAGATCAAAATATGGACGTCATCGGAACCAAGCTTTAAGCTTTAACTTAAAAAATGTGACGTACGAATGCGAACGTTTTCTGACGCGTGACGTTTTGAGGGTGGCTGCCATGCGGACGCTCAAAGCATAGTAATGCTCATTATGCATGGATTTTTATTGGCCTATCAATTTACAAACCCAAAATATTTATTTTTATGTAAATAACCAAAAATCACGCGTACGACGCACCAAGCTCTTTATGAATGTACATAATTTTATTTATTTATTACAATAATTGTAAGTCTATGCGAAAAATTAGAAGACACGTACACCAAAAAATGTTAGCTACACAGTTTCGGTAATCTGGTAATTTTCCTAAACTCGCAAAAAATTAAAGCCTTCTAAGTCGTTCGACCAGAAGGGCTCATTCATGGCACAGATATTTCATATTTACGGTCTTTGTTCGACGGAGTTAAATCAGTCGAGTAGTCAACAAATCGAACACTGAAAGATCCTCAAAAGGCACACTTTCAGACGCTTGCTATTCATGTCTGGCTCTGAGAAGAAACCTGTACTACTACAGAAGGAAGGGGTGAAACGATGGCTTCTAGACTCCAGTAAATAGCATTGAATTATACTATGTATGGTTGGTTCAAAGCTCGTCCAAAGCATTGTTGATGGTGCTTTTTCAAAAAACATTCAGTTGTCTTTCCGACTAACCGATTATAACGGAGCCGTAGTCGCGGGCAAACAGATGTTTATAAATATTTTGCGACAGTCAAGCAGCGGTTAAGAGGCTTGGTTCATACAAATCTAGAAAAACTTGATCGAAATGCGATCGTATGAAGCAACGAAAAGGGAGGGCATCTCAAAGATAGTAGGATGAAAAGCCACTGCCATATGGGACCACACGAAAAAAGCTATCAGCTGCGAAACATACGTTGGCTATGTTGGAGTCAAGTCTGCTAAGGTAAGAATTTAGTCGAATACAATAACCAGATCTTAATTGCGTCAGTATTACGCGGAACTCTCGAAGTA